ATTATCAGCATCGACCCCTTGTAGTCCGTACATATTCAATCACTCATCAGATGCTATTGATGTAGATTTTGTAATTTTGCATGTTTTTAATCTGACTTGCATTCTCTTGCCATAGCCTTCATGATTCATGACATACTGACCTAAACATTGAACATATGACCAGGTGACACTCTTTAGTGACATTACTATCAGGAAGCACTTGTGACTTCTTTCTGTTTTGACTTTTCATTTTGTCTTGGATCGAGAGGATTTCTGGAAGGTGGGACTTTTGGTCTAAACCCAGAGGTGCTGCCTGGTGGAGAAGAGTCGATCTGACTGGAACAAATTCTGACCAGAGACCTCTGAGTATTTGCTGGTTTTGCTGCCAGCTCCATCAATGTTCCTGGGGCTTGGACTCTGAGCAGAATCTTTCTTGGCTCCCCACAGCAATGGCCTGACTCATTTTCCCTCATCCTGGAGTCTTTCGCCATTGACTGTCTGGAAACCCAGTTCTCCAGCACCTTCATTTTCTTCACAGTCCTGACCCTGAATGGGACTTCCGACAGCTCAATCTGGGAATTGCTTAACTGTCAGGCTATTCTGAAAATCTGAATTTTCATGGCTTGTAAACTCCACCAATGTTTTGCCTCCCCTCCTAGGGTCTGCTGGGTCTCACAGTGTCCTTAGGACCCTGAGTCTGCTTTTACCTATTACTAGGTCTGCTTGTGCTGCAAAACCAAGATATGGGGTAAGGGAATGGATTTGTGGGATTTGAAACGCCAACATATTAACTCACTCAGCAGTTTTATTCTTGAGAATGGACTGAATTTAGTTTTTCCTAAATGAAAATTTAATTTACATAGTGTGAATGCATAGAATTTTAAGGTTTACACTTTGAGGAGTTTTGACAAACGTATAATAGCCATAGAGCAACGTCTCAGTCAAGAAATAGTGCATCTTCATCACTACATAAATTTCTGTCATGCTCATAGACCTCAACTGTCTGTCTCTGTCATACAGTCATGGTTCTGATTCCTATCCACAGAGAGCGTTTTTGTCTGTTCTGGAACATCATATAAATGGATATATATGTGTATATATATACGTATATATCTATATATATATTAGTTTTACATTTTCCACAACATAACATTATTGAGATTCATCTATATTGTACATTTTAGTAGTTCTTTTTTTTTTTTTTTTGGTTCTTTTTCTGGTACCGGGAATTTTTTTTTTTACTATGTTCTTTTTCGGTACCGGAAATCGAACTCAGGGCCTCACACTTGCCAGTCAGGTGCTGCACTGCTAAACTACATCCCCAGCCTTAGTAGTTCATTTTGAAAATATGCTGTCTTGAAGTTTGTGAGGGAAGAGAGAGTTCCTCTTGAGGAAGTAGTCCTAGTGCAGGCTAGATTTGTATACAAAGGATGCTAAATTCAATTCCATGCTTTTGAAAACAAGAACTTATATTCACTTAAAACTCTGCTCAACAATGTTTGTAATTATTAGTACAAGTAGAATTCAAATCAGACTTCTGGGTTAAATACAGTTTTATTTGAAAGCACTTTGAAGAGTTTGAAACAATTAAGGTGTTTTTAAACCTTCACACAAAATTCAAATATATAATATTGTAAGATTACAATATTGTACTACACTTCTTAGCCAAAAGGCCGAGAAGCAATGAGATTACAATACTGTAAAGATTACCTTCTTTAATATTGAATATCTCCAAATTTAACATTACACAATTACATTTGTGAAAAATTTTTTGATAACTGGTGAAAGAATTATAAATGCTGGACAATTATAATCAATCATAACTGTTTGCTGATCACCTATCATGTGTAAGAAGATACATATATTCAATTTCTAGAAAAGGGAAATTTCAGGAAAGATGATGAGAAATAAAAACAATTAAACCATAGTCAACTAGAAGGTGAGACATTATATACTCTTAAAGTCATACTAATGTACAATTGAGTATGGTCAGTACCAAATGCAAAGGAGATAATTTGGAGGGAGCTCGTACAATGGGTGCAGATACACATAAGCCCCTTGTGTGGCAATGTGATGACTCCAATAGATAGCTCGTTTCCCCCCCACTCCAAGCATCACTGAGGGTGAAGCCCAGGGCATTGTGCATAGGAGACAAGTGCTCTACCAGAGCTACCTCCATAGTCCTCTGCTTTTCTCTTATATTAAACTTTTTATTTAAAAAATTTATTGGACGGGTGAAAAGCTCTGAAACATAGTCTCTGGACCAAATAGTGGCAATAAAGAAATATATTAGAGTCACCTTATTGAGGACTTTAAAATAGGATTTGGTTTTACTCAACAAGGAATGGAAACTATGTGTTGATTTGTTTTTTAACTAGTTTATATTGCATATTTCATTCTGGAAATAGATTTTTCTCAGATGTATAGGATAGACTTAAAAGACCATTTTAATAAGGTTAATATTACTGAAATTAGCTGGGATTGTGAATTAAAGCCCTAAAAAGTAAAATGCACACCAAAATCTAAATCAAAGTTGGCATTTATTACTCTGTAAATACAGCTACTAAAAGTTAGCAGCTAATGATTGGATTTAACCTCTTCATGGCTAGCATTTTTTTTTATTGCTGATATTTTATTATATTTTATTGCTAATATTTTATTATATGAATTTATCATAGTTTATCTATAGTATTTTGTGGCAATACTGTGAGTTGTTTCCAGTTTTCACCTAATACAAATAAAGGTAGCATAACAGATATGTACAGCTTTTTTTATGGATATATATTTCTATTCTCTTGGGTGAAAATCTATGGGTAGTATTATTGAATCATACTCTAGATGTATGCTTGTCACTATAAAAACTGCCAAACTATTTCTCAAAATAGTTTTATCTTTTTATACTTCAATCACTAATAAAATTTTAGTTATCTTTTTGGTTACAAAACATTACTATATTGTGGTTTTAACTTGCATTTCTCTGATGACTAATGACATGGAATACTTTTCCATATACCTATGCACCATTTGTAAATCTTCCTTTGTCAAATGCCTGTTAAAGTTTTTTGCCTGTTAGATAAAATTGCTTATCTCTTTTTGTTATTGAGTTAAGTATTTTTATGTGTCCTAGAATTTGTGACTGTCAAGTATATCTTTAGAGGTGTATCAAGGGTATTTTTTTTCCTAGTCTGCAGCTTGTTCATTCATTTTCTTAATGATGATTTTGGACAAATGAAGCTTTTAAATTTGATGAAGTCTGCTTTTCTTTTTCAAAAGTATTATTAGGATGACAGCATTGTGTCCTAAGAACTCTTAGCCTTTTTTAAGGTCAGAGAGCTGTTTTTTTCTTCTAAACAGTATATTTAATTTTAATAGTTTTACAGATTTTAAGTTTAATATACGTGTAACACTTATCTTGATCTAATGTTTATGTCTACAGTGTAAGGTAAGAGTGAAAATTTACATTTTTCCTTGTTGATGTTGAGTTATTTATTAGAGCCTGACCTTTGTTAGACCAACAGAGACAGGCTAGGGGTATAGCTCAGTGGTAGAACACTGGTCTAGCCTGGTTGAGGCCCTGGGTTCAACCCCCAGCAGCAGAAACAAAGTCAAACCCCAAAATACTTAAATGCAATACTGTAATAACAATTTCTTTCTGTTACAAAGTTGTTTGGCTATCAATTTGTATTTGCATGAGTCCTTCGTCTTGTATAGGTAGATCCGTTGTCTACTTAAATATTAGTAGTCAGCTAATTCTTGTCAAACTTGAAATGACAGTCAAAGGCATCCAAAAACTTGTGGACTTAGGTGTACAGAAGTCTAATGCACTTAGTGTCATAAACCTTATGCAAGCCTTTCCTAATATCCTTCCTGAATAAAACAATAGCAGTCAAACAAAGATACCAAAATAATAAAACGTTATGTGGCCGCGTCCAGTTTTGTTACGTGTTAAAATGTTACAGTCAGTGTTGAGAAGAAAGCTCCTCATTCCTAGAGGTATGCTCGTTCTAAGCATAAGGTGGAATCACATAAAACTCAGCACTACTTTGTTGCAACAGACAGAAACCCAGAGAGACGCTTCCGGAAGAAAAGGACTTGATTATGTAGCTGGAGAAATCCAAGGGCTAAGCTTGCTTCACGTAAGACATGTTCTGAAATTTTTCCTCATATGAAACCTTAAAAAATTTTTGATAAACTTAATTTTTTTTTTTAAATACTGGGACTAGACAACTGAGCTCATTCTATGAACCTATTCCTTGCAGGTATTAAAATTGTAAGGGGACCTAAAAGATACCCTTGCAAGAGTCAAAAGGAAAATAACTTACTTTAAAAAAATGAGATATTTGCCTCAAGTAGTAGCAGTGCAATTTGCATCGTTTTTCCAGATAATGATCTGCAGTTAGAAAAAAAGGAAGCTTGTTCATTGAAACGATCAGTATTTTCTTTCTACACTTCAATTACAATCTAAGCATGAGTCTGCTGAATTTGACTGGGTGGGAATTTATTTAAGATTTTTAGGAACTAAGGAAACAAGAGGACCCGGTTGTGTTAATGACCTTTGTGGTCTGGGTAAGACCCAGATGCTCGTTTTCCTCTGCGATTATGACCGTCTCCCGCTTGTTTTGACATTTAGAGGCGCCGTGCGTCTTTCTTCCGGCTATTTGCAAACAGCGGAGCTGGCTGCAGAGCCCAGGCTGCCTGCGTTTCCAGTGGTTCCGATCTGCCTGCGTGGGTTCTTCCTGCTGCTTTGCAAGGGGTCAGGGCTGCGAGCACGTCACTGATTGTCTGAGGTTGGCAGACGGGCTGCTTGAGGTCTTAGGAGCTGCTGACACTGGCTGCCTGCGAGCTCTATCCCTTTGCATTTCGCCTTCCCCTCCTTTCTCCAGAAGCACCCTAGCTGTAGTCGCACAGAGACTTTTTCCTTTCTCTTTCCCCCTTCGGCCCCTCCCTAGACCTCTCTGGGCTTTGACGTCACGTGTGCTCCTTTTAGTTGCCATGGCAACTCCATTCCCCCAGCCCCGGGTCCGTCTCCTCTGGAAGGCTCCACAGTGGTACGGCAGCATCACGCCGCACAATGGTTTTCAGCCAGTGAAAGGGGGTGATTCAGCAAGCTGCTGTTCTTCTTTTTTTAAACCTCCCCGTTCCTTTTGCTTTCTATGGGGGTGGGTGGTGCTTCTTATCTGCGTACCCTTTTCTTTTCTTTTTTTCATTTTTGCAGATTTTCTTTTTTTTCCCTCCTCCCTTAGTTCGGAGGGGCTTGAGTGAGTTTCAGATTGGGTCTTCTCGGAAATCACCTGTCTATCATTAATTTTAAACAATCTCCCCACCTCCAAAGAATCTCTTCCTTGTTGCAGTTTGGGATGTGGTTCATGATAACCAAATGAGGAGGATTTCTGGGGCAAACACGGCCGAATCAGGACTGTAGGTCTCAGACACGGAATGGTAGGTGACTCTGCTCCTTCTGGGTCTAACCTGATTTTGGAGGGTGGGGTGAGGTCTCTTCTTTGCTCCGGGTGGGTTGGGAGAGGGAGAACGGGCGACTGCAGAGAGTTGGGGTCGAAAGTGGGTTCACCACATCAAGTAGCTCCCGGGCAAGGAGCCACAAGCTTTTCTCCCTGGGCTCAGACTCTCCTCAAACCGGCTTTCTGTGCGGGGTCAGGGGCGCAGAGGGTTGGGAGGGAGTAGTGTGGTCCTGACGGGGCTTTGAGACCGACCTAGAGTTTCCCAGGGGAAGCTACTCCCACACTGGGCAGGGGGCAGCTGTGTCTGTTGGAAGTGCTGACCTCAGTACCCACTCTGAGAAATGCTATGGTTTTCATAAGCTCTGAAAAGATACTGTCATTTAATATTCACCTATGTCTACTTCCTGGCAATGAATATCTTGGTACATATTTATATAATTTAGCAAGGAACTAAAAATCTATTTAGCTTTGCAGAGAGACTCTGGTATTTGGGTTAGGGAGAGGAATAGAGAACAGGGTCAGGTTAGAGATCAGAGAAAACATTGGCATTGCAGTCACATAGGTAAGTAAGGGGTCCCTTTAAGAAAGTGATCTCCTACTCACAGCAGGCAGCATTTTTTTTTTTTTTAATGGCAAGGTTCCCAGGTATTCTGTCCTGGGAGGTTGTGTCCCCTACAAATGTCAGAGCTCTTTTGGGAAAAAAAAAAAAAAAATATATATATATATATATATATATATATATATATATATCTCAGAAACTAGCATGGCAAGATATTTAGCACAATTTATATATTTGTGCTTTCAGTAACCTGAATGGTATTTAGTGGAAGATCTTCAAATCAACTGAGATAGAAATATTTCAAGGCAATTACACGTATTTTCATTTTTTTTTTTTTTCCTCTTACACTTGAATCTAGAGACTTACTGGTCCTTCTTGCAGGGTTACTGTGATTTAGCTTCAGAAGCAGCCTAGCTTATCCCATGGAAGCCGGCACCAAAGCAGTCATAAGGTTGTTTACATGGGATGGTTTGCTGCAGAGCTGACCGTACCACACAGCAGCCCGGCTGCCTCTGGGCTGCTGACAGTAACTTTCATGAATACCCCTGCAAGGAGCAGGCTAAGTCTTATGGGACAAGCCACAGTTGAGATGCAAAGAAAATGGGTGTAAGTGCACCAGGCATCACCAGCCTTAGGTCCACTTTCTCTTGTCTTGGTGTATGACTTCTGACTCTGGAAGAGCTCCCAGCATGCAGATCAATGTATTTAAAATGGTTGCAGTAATGACCGTTTCTCCCAGGGAGGCCTCTGTGGCGAGCATGTATGTTGTAAACACAGATAGCAATGCTCAGGAATGAGCTCACAAGCATCCAGCTCCACTCGAAAACTGCTGGATTTTAGGGGCTGGGTCATTGGGATGTAGCAATTTTGCTGCCTCTGGAATCTGTTCCCTTCTGGATCTTGATCTTACCCTTCTTAATGACATAAAGTATTGAATGAGCTTACTTTATCACACGAACAAACTGGGCTTTTCTTTCCCTGACAATGGGACTAGGAAGTCGGATGACAAAGGTGGTATGACCTTAGATATTAAAGAGTCTTTATGCTTCCTCATTTGCATATCACTCCTTCAGCTGTTGCAAAGTGTCTTGAATTTGAGGGACTCTTGTTCTTGCAAAATCTTTGTAGCTTCACTAAAAAAAGATTCAGGATGATGAGGCTGTAAGAAATATACACAGAGGGGGGAAAAAGTCAGCTGCCTCCAGCCTCCTGCCTGCTCGACCCAGCAGCATCTGCTGTGGGGAGCAGGGCACTCGCTGTGCTGGAAGGGGATGTTTATGAACAGATCCCAGAGGGACAAATGTGTTTCTGCTGTCATTGTCTGGCTGGTCTGTGGCTATTAGCATTTAATGGTTTCATAGTATGTGATCAGTATTCATCAAGGTTAAAATGATTGGAGGGTTGGTTGTGAGTGCTAGCCCATATAAGTCATTTACATTTACAGGAAAATTAACTCATTGTTAGTATATTCTACAGGAATACCAGTAGCAAAAGAAATTTTCCCTACCCAAGTAATCCAAAAAAGCTTCCCGCGACTAAAGGCACATATATATTTAAGGTTTGATTGTGGCTTCATGTAAATGAATCTTTGAATATAAGCTTAGCTACAGAAGCTTTTATACTGATGATAAAGTATAAAGGCAAAGTGAAAGAGCTTTTTGTTTGTTAAATGTGGGGATAAATATTCTCCTTTCTTGCTCTAGCTTTGACTTCCGGTCACATTTTTAGCTAAAGGACTTGGAGTGGAATTGCTCTGTTCAGATCAAATGATGGCTTGGTTGCTTACATGAAAAAGGAACTCACAGCAAAAGAGTCTTCCTTCAATTACAGTAAGAAGTATTCAAATTGGCTTTTTAAATTTTCTTCACTGTCCCTTCTGTTTCCTCGGGTAGTCTGTTTGAAGCTTTGGGTTGGACATTGTAACAGCCACACAAGAAGAGACACAAAAGTGTCCAGTAACGACCAGAGCAGAGCACAATGTTCTGCTTGCTGCGGGCCTGCCGGGCACCTCCTTCTGCCACATAGGGATTGATTGTTGCACCTTCTGAGAACCGAGGCAATCAAGGCTTCGTGGAGAAAGTTGAGCTGGTGCGTTCCTGGGAGAGAGGACTGTTGGCAAAAAGGACAGATTCCATTTGTAGCTTTAGTATATTGAATACAGTGATTGCATTACATAAGTCTGAGACGAGGCACTGTACTGCTGATTTGGAGGAAAGATCATATACTGACCGCTTGAAAGAGAATGTGTCATTTAGAATTGGAGTGTGTGTTTTCAGATGTTCTCCTATGAGTGCGTGTTTTATTAGCAAGGGTGAGAGGTTCCAGCTAGAGACTTTTCAGTCTGAATATGTTTCACCCTTGTGCCAACACAAGGCAAAGAGAGGGAAAAGGAGAATTCTGCATGTTTTGAATTCTATACTTTTTTTTTTTCCTGCATTACATGGAGAGAAGCTTCATTTCCTACAGTAAATCTTCATAGGAAATCTAGCAGAGACATGAGGTGATACTGAAAATATCTAGAAAGAAACATGCTGGGTTTGAGAATGAGATTGCAAACATACTTATTTTTGGTAAAGCATTTTAATTGATGTTTTGGGCCCATGTGAAGCCACTGTGGCCTTTTTCACTCTTTCCATCCCTGGAGATGCAGAGATGTCAGAACCACAGGCTGATGGAAATGTTGCTTGCAAGAGTGGAAACCCAGTGGGAGAAGGAATGCATGAAGGCTCCGCTGGAAGCCCCCTAACCGCAGCTGCTCTATGCCCCCTGTTGTGTGTGGGGCGCAGGTGGTGCTCCCCAAAAGGGCAACCAGGTGATACTGAAAATTTGCAGAGTAGCCTACACAGCAACACACAGGATATTTGCTGCTGCTGCTTCTATTTCTTCTTTTTCTTCTTCTCCTCCTCTTTTGATGATAGAAAGAAAATAAAAACAAAACCTAAAACAGCAGTGCCCTCAAGGATGTACTAGAAATACATCTTAGTGGCTTATCTTTGCAGAAGCACAGCTGACTCTGGTTTGTGGATGTTAAACTGGTTGGGTGCTCTAGGTGCATCGTGAAAATGGGTCTCTTAAAATAATTGGCCTGTTTTTGAGCATTGGAAGTAGGGTCTGAAGCCACTGGCAGTGAAGGAGGGTTAAGACTGCATATTTGGTAATGTTCATTCAGTGCCTTCTGAAGGAAGATCCCATTTTAGCACTTACCACATGGTAGAGTAACTACCTGTGCCTGTATCACCTACATACTCTGCTAAAGTATCATCTCTGCTAGGAAGTGACTCAGGCACACAGTAGGGGCACAATAAGTGTTTATGCAATGAATATTTTCCACATACAGAGTTTTCTGGTAAGTTCTCTGGGTGCAAGAATTTGGGACTCAAGTTTCTGTCATTTGTAGCTTATGGGCATTTGGGAAGGTGAAGTTAAATAACAATAAAGATAGAATAGGATTAAGGGTCCCTAATAAGAGTTTGACATAAATACAGTAGGGATCCAGAAGGGAGAGAAAATGATCCCATCTGTAGGTGACACTGGCGGTCACACCAGGACATTAGGCCTGGGTGGGAGGGTATTCCTAGGAACAGCAGTACACAGCTGACCATACTTGACTCATATTTGGGGCAGACAAAGTTTATTTTTGGTATGTTGACCATACTTTCCAAACTAGAAAGACAAAACTTATAGTCATAAAGAATCTAGTGCAATATATTGCTGGGAAGTGACAAGCAATAACGTTGAAAAGCAAGGTTATCACTAGATCAGAGTATACAAGAACATGAATACACATCTCTCTCTAACTTCAGACAACTGAGTCTAGTTTTACTTTGTTTCACTTACCTTAGAGGTCTTCCTTGTTTTATTGGTAATTATATAACCCATTTTTCTCACGAAATCTTAAAGGAAAAGCATAATATGTAAACATAGGTAACTATGGAGCTATCTTGAGGCTGAATTGATACCTTTATTACAAAACCAAGTCCATAACCATAAAGTCGAATATCATGTCCACCCAGATAACAATTACTAGTTGAGTTTATGTTTAGATTTAAAAATATATAGCTGTCCTGGAATTGATAACACCAGAGTTCTTGTACTTGCAACAATTTTGGAACTGACTTAACCACTTTGAGATATTTTATGTTCTTCCCTTCTACCTACCACCTAGAAAACAATGGTCTTTTTGTCTTTGATGTCAGTCTTTTAGTTTTCTAAGAGCAGGAGAAACCTTAAAAGTCAAACTCATCTGTCTTTTTGCTTTGATTTTAGGCTAGCGTGAGAAACATCACCGGCAAGACCATCTCCGATCTTGGTTATGGCAACTCATGCAAGAAGCTATTGAACTAGACCCATTTCCTATAGATGACAAACCACACAAGCAGTGGTGAGTCACAAGTTTTAAAAATGGTCCTAAACATAAATTCTGTGATCTACATGACCAATTGCATGTTGCATATCATCCAGGGTATGGCTCTGAAGAAATGTTGTCCTAAATAATACCAACCAAAGTGCGAAGCAATAGGACAGGATATTTAATGGATGGTACAGTTCTGCCAATACCACATCTGGTCGGGGAGGGTTTGTGAGCTGCCATGACACTACCACCATGGACTGTACCAGCTCATGTCAGATGGCTGCAGTGAACAATTTTGTGTGGCAGAGTATCTGTTGGGGAACATTATTTTTATGTGAGTTATCTTATTTGCAGTGTAATAATATATTGTATTGATTAAGCTCTTTTCATAGAAAAAAGTACTTCTGAGCTAAATTACAATGCTTAATTCCTTTTGGAAGTCCATGTACACATAACATCTAGACTTTCAGAAAAAAGGGAAGAGAAATTACACCACAGCTTCCTAAAATTCAATTTATATGTATTTTAAGGAAAACAATAGTAAATATAGATCCAATTGCTCTACCCTGGAGTAATTTAAAAACTTATTATTTTTTAAAAATATCAGCACACACAGGCAGAATATCTTTTTTCAGTCAAATACTTAACAGATCATAGTCACCAAAGTCAATAATCAATAGACTCCCACAGAGTTGAATGAGTTATAATCTCTCAGATAACATCTTTGAGAATAGAATATGATAGTGGTGGTGTTAAGGCTCCAAAAGAAGTTATTTTGAACTAATGATCAATATCTCTCTTTCATCCGCATAGAGGCTTGTATAACTCACTGCAGATAGACTGCTCTATGAATTAATACACACCTTATAACTGCAGAAGTAGGATGAAATCAATCTTGTAATTATTTCACGTTGTGACTTTCAAAATAATCTGCCTACAGATGTAATGCAATGAGAAAATAAATCTAGTAGTCACCATTAGGCTGTGCTTAACCAAACTATATTCAAGGAGTATTTGCCATAAAGAAGAAATAGTATAATTGCTAACAAGCAACCGTTTTTGCTGCAAGCTCAGTTTTATAAGATTGAACATGATGCGTTTTTATGTGCTCCTTCCAATGATGTAAAAATATACATATTATCCCCATGTTAAATATTTATTTATTAAGCAACGTTTATTGAGAATCTGTGGTGTAAATATCTTGCTTAGCTTTGGGGTAGATGAAAGTCTTTGCTTTAAAGGATTTTTATCATACTTATAGGAAAGTGTTCTGTTAACAGATATATTCTAAGAAGTGTGGGAGTTGTAAAATGCTCTTATATAGGTAGACATACGGTGCTGAAGGAAGGACTGTGGAGGAGAATCTAGCATGTGTGTGGTGGGAAAGGTCAGGGGAAGCTTCCCAGAGAAGTGAGAATTTAATGAACTGTTGAGAACGGTAAGAAGATGCAAGAGGAAAGGAGGGATGAGTGCATAGTGGGCATGATTTTCAACAGTCAGAAACTTGAGAGAGCGCGAGTGGGCAATTCAGTACCATTTACTCTGCAGGAGCATAGAAGGTAGTGTCAGAGATATAGCCGGAGATGGGTATGGGAGATACCTTGCAAGATCTTTTAGATAAAGCCAAGGAATTTCCTTTTTAGACTAAAGTGAAGCACTTTTGAAAGATTTTAAGCAGGAGAATGGTATAATCAGTTAATTCTTAAATGGTGAAATATATTCACTAGATAGTATATAAAATCAATATAGGTTACAGAATCATTGTAACTCTAGCTTCATATGACTGCTCATATTATGGGATAGGCTCCCAGTGAGCTCCTGTGTGTCCCTTTAAGATCACCCACTTTGGCTTCCTCACCAGAGGAGACCACCAACTGTGACACATTCCTACTTCTACCACTTATTCCCCTGACCCTCTTTGAGGCTTTCCATCTATGTGTGTATCTCTACAGCGTACATCAGTTCACCTGTCCTTCAGCTCCACGTATTAGTGGCATGTATATACACCCTAAATTGTCTGATTGTTTTGCTAAACATTGTGAAACTCCTCTATAGCCCGTGCATGTTGTTTACCCCTTTAGACTGCTGCATAGTATGCTACCCTAAGAATACACCAGGATTTAATTATTTACTTTACTTTTGGCAAAGGTTGGGGTTATTACAGTACATTAAGCCATTTTCTGTGTTTATCTCTATATTATTCCTCATAGATTCTGTCACAAACATGTAAGGGCTTCAAGAGGGTAGATATGAAGGAAAAGAACTGCTATGTTTTAGGGTATGTGCACCATTCATTTTACTAAATATTTCTGAAGTATTTTTCCAACGTTGATACATTGATTTGCACTCCCAGAAGCATTATGGGAAGAATTCTACATTATCACCAACACAAATTCTTTAATTTTTCTAATCAGGTGCATACATAATTGTACTCATGGAAGTATTAATTTGCATTTTGCTGATTACTAATGAAGATATCTTTTCATTTTTTATTGGCCTTTTGAATTTCCTCTTTTGTGAAGTGCCTGCTCAAGTCTGTCTGAGATTTGTCTTTCAAGATAATTAATACTTTTGAGTTCTCACTGTGTGACAGGCACTCATCTGTATGATTTTACCGATAAAGAAACAGATTTTGAGAGGTTAAAAACTTGCTGACAATTACAGAGCGAAGAAACAGTGAATTTAGCCTTCAATCCAAGGTCTTTCTGACTCTAGAGTTCTTTAGTTTCTCAACAGTGTATGGAAGGGGATTGGGTTGGAGCCACAGAAAATACTAATGGTGCAATTGTAGGAATCTAGTTCAGAAATACTAAAGGTAAAACCAAAGAATTTTCTGTAGGGTGTGTGTAGTAAACAACCAGATATGGTGATTGGGTGGGGTGAAAAAGGAGGATATAAAGATTTGATACCTGTTGGTTAGGGAGGTTCAATATTATTCATACAGTATATAGCTATAGTCCTGATATTTGATAAATTCTAAGGCACATTTTATGACTGATCCAAAAAGAGATGACCTTAGTTTACAGGTTTGTAAGCTTTAGGGTTAAAGAGACTACAGTATCTATTTGGGTCAACTCGACTTTTTAAAGATGTGTACCAGCTACTAAAAGGGCATAACTGATTTGTTCAAGATCACATGTTACTAAGTGTGAGCTTAAGAATAGACACCGGGACTTCAAAAATAGGTAAATACATACATACATACATACATAAGTAGATACATAAATACAAAGATAAATAAATAAACAAACACTGCCTGATTTTTAAATTAGTAAGTGAACATACAATTAGCCTACTTTATTTTCTAAACATTTCTTGAATCAGTCCCCCTCGATCTTTATCTATGATCCCTGCCCCGAGGCTCTGAGTATCACTTTCACCAGGTTAAGTGAGCAGCCTCCTATGATACCTTCTTGCCCAAGATTCTACCAGTGAAGTCACCACTTTGAAAGTTTGATTTGCTGTTGTAACACATAGCATAAAGGCTCTCATCATCCATGAAATAATTTTCACACCCCTTAAAAAATATACTTTTGTGCACCCCCATTTTGGAGACTCATGTGTTCAGGGACACCGGTGTGTCACACACAGGTGACTACTTCATAGTGTCTATTGTGCCCGCACTCCTCTCTTATGGATGGTCTCCAGTTCGTGGTGCTTGACTTAGCTTTTGACTTTTCAGTGGCACAAAAGTGACAAGCGTTCAGCAGGATCCGTATATCACACATTGCACTGTGATCTTTTCTGAGGCCATTGATGAGCATAGGATGATATGATGTTAGTGGCAGTGGCAAGTTGCACCTCGCTGTCCTGTGAGATACGTGGCAGTTCTTTACAGAATAAGCTTTGTGATGGGTGACCTTGCACAACTGTTAGGGAACATAAGCCCTCTGAGCATATTTAAGGTAGGCGGGGCTAAGCTGCTCTGTTGAGTAGGTTAAGGGTGTCAAATGCTTTCTGATTCATGATATCTTCAATTTATGATGGATTTTTGGGATAAAACCCCACAGGAAGGTAAGGAACATTATACTGAATGTTTCCTTTATATAAATGATGAAAATGAGGCATTGAAGATTTAAAAACTTTCTCCAGGTCGTGCAACAGTGACAGCAGAGTTTAGAGTGACTGACTTCAGAGTTTTTATATTTTATTACATGCTTCTCAGCATTAAAGGTGAACATTGAGCCCCATGAAGCCTTAAAACATTGATATAGTTTGAAACCCAGGCAAAAATACAGATGGGAGTTCTAAGAAATGGTAATAATATAATCAATGTAAAAAAGATAAAAATAACTGTTATAGGTCAGGGGTACTGAAAGCCTTACCATTGAGGTGAATAAGAGAATATTCTGAATTTTGTTGTTTCATATTCTGTCAATGGCGAAATAGTTGCCAAGGTACATGCTTAGGACTGTTTAACCCTAGTAAAATTCAAATGAGTAGTCTTCACTATGGTCTCCATGTCTGTGGTCTATTTAAATTCACACGTGGGATCATAGCCCCCAAGGTGATAGTACTAGGAGACAGGGTTCTCGAAGCTGATTAGGGAATGAAGGTGGCCCCTCATAACAAGAATAAGTGCCCTATCAAGCACACCTCCAGAGAGGCACCTAGACTCAACAGGCTGTCTCCAGACACTAAGTCTGCTTTGATCTTGAAATTTTCAGCTTCCAAACTGAGAAATAAACTTCATTGTTTATAAGCTTCCTAGTTTATGATATTTAAATAGTAGCAGTCTAAATGCACTCAGGTTCTCCGGGACTGTATACAATTTTAGACTTTTCTTTTCCCTGATTGGTAGAACCTCAGGCAATGTCTGTTAGGAGAATGGATTCAAAGCTGTCACTGTTTGAGAGTTTCCCAAGTAATATGATGCCAGATCAGGAAAATATACTTAATACTTTCCTTTAGAAACTGAGGTCTTTTCTGAAGCTTATTTGAAGAATGTGTTATTGTCTGCAGGACTTTAGTGTCACCCAGATTCTTCAGGAATAATTCTCTGTATTTTGATAACTACTACCAGAGGAACT